GGGGGGCCGGGGCGGCCCGCGCCGGGGGCGGCCGCTGACGCGCCGTGTCCTGCAGGCTGGCGTGTGGCGACGTGGAGGGGCGGCTGGAGGCGCTCTTCGGGCGGGTCCGGGCCATCCAGGGCAAGAGCGGCCGCTTCGACGTAAGGCTCCGAGGGTCTGGGGGGGACCGGGCTCGGGGTGCCCCGCCCCGCTTCCTGCGGGGCACCGGGCGAGGGTGAGTGGGGCTGTTCTGCGTGGGGTTCTCGTACTCGTCCTGCGGGCGAGCAGGGACGTTGGGATGGCTCTGGTCAGGAGCCTGCCCGGGGCGACACGGCAGAAGTTCCTGGGTGGGTTTCGCGTGGAGGGGATGTGCTGGGGGTGCTCGGGCAGGTTTTGCTGTGGGGAGCCGCGTGCGTCCCTCTGAGGCCGTGACCCTCCTCTTTCCGCTCGGTGTACGAAGGGGCGGTGGAGGGGCCTTTGCACCGTCTCAGCCCTCCTTATCCAGCACCAAAGTGTTGGGAGGAGCCGTAATCTGTGGGCAGAGAGTGCGGGAGAGCATGTTTGTCATGTTTAAACCCATTAATCTTGCTGTCATGCGTTTAATACTAATCACAGATAAACATAGAGGAACCTCTTTGCCATACTAAACAAAATGCTGTTGAAGTGATGCATGTCACAGTGTTGTGGCAATACAGCATGTCGGTGAAAAAGTTGTGTCTTTGGTAAAATGGCGACTCTCGCTTTATCTGATGTTTTTAGATGCTTTTGTGCGTTGGGAATTTTTTTGGCTCTACTTCAGAGACAGAATGGGCAGAGTATCGCACAGGGGCCAAGAAAGGTAAGGAAGGTGTTGTCATTCCAGATGCTGGCGATTGCACTATTTCACGACCGACTTCACTGTCTCATCACAGTGTGCTTTTGAATTCAGAAGTTGCAGTTAAATGGTGTAATGTTAAAGCAGTTAAATTCAAGTAGGAAAACTCCACACAGGAGGGAAAGATGGGTTTGTTTTAAAACAAAACTAATTTCTGTCATGCTCTCAGACTCGGGAGCACGAAGATGCCTGTGTCCAAGTGGCCTGCCCACAATTTGGGCATCAAGGCCTGTGCCTGGGTCACCTGGCCAGCGCTGTTTGCAGTCAAAGGAAAGACACAGGGTGCTGCTAATTGGTGTCAGGGTCTTCTCTCTCCTTGCCTGGATGTCTTATGGCTCCGCTTCTGTTCCTGCCATCACCTCCTTACAGTTTCAGCCTGCAGGCTGCCACGTGGGGCAGTCCTTGTTTTCTCAACCTGGGTAGGCTGAGAAGCTGTACGTAGATGTTTACAGCGCTTCGGTCAGCAGGCCACGGGATCCCAGCATGCCTGCCAGTGTGTAGCCCTTCTTATGCCACTCCTGGTGCTTCCCTCGCAGGAATTCCTCATCATTCCCTGTTCACACCCACCTTCACACTTCTACCACAGACCTCTCTGCAGTGTGTAGCACTGTTCTTCCCCTCCCTGCATTCAGGCCTGAGGAAAAAGGGGAAAGCAGAGGTGCTGGCGGGCTGAGCTTCTCTGTTCTTCAGCCATGGAGATCAGAAAGCTTTCCAAAGGAGCAGGGTTTGCCCATTCTTCCTCAGTCCCTGCAGCCCTTGCGCTGAAGACGTTTTCCCAGCTGCAGATACGAAAAGTCCTATGTGGACTTCTCTGGCTCTTTCCACACCCCTCTTGTAAGGGAGATGCTACCTCATGAGCATTTGTAGTGTTCCTCTTCAGTGCTACTCTGGCTCTCGCCCCTGGTGTGAGGCAAGCCAGAAAGGAGCTGGGACTCTTGCTTTCCAGTTCCTCTCTGCTGCTGCATCACTCCCCAGTTATCCCCCTGTCCTGGTTTCGGCTTGTTTGTTCATCTGTGTGAGCCATCTAGACAAAGACTGCCCCGTTTGCTGCTTGTGGCTGCTTGTTTGCCTTACCATGGCAAGGCATGCTTCTTTGTGTTCCTGTTGCTATGAGACTATAAGGAGAATTGTTACTGGTTGAAACTTCGCTCCCCGAGGAAGCTCTCCTGTGCACGCAAGGCCAAGAGTGGGCATTGACAGTGAAGTCTTCCCTGGACCGATGCATTTCTGCTCATCCTCACTTGAATTGTCTTTACCCTTTGACCTGTTGAAAAAATCTGTAGCTTATAACCTCACCTATAAGCACATAGATACAAACAAGATTCATGTCACTTCATTTTGGTTTCAAGCCATTGATAAGATTTTCAAACTCTGCTTTGCAATTGAAAGCAATTTCCTGTATCTTCTGACTGTGGGAGCTGGAACTTAAAGCAACAGTCTTAACAACAGCTATAGCAGAGCTGCTGTATTACTGCTGCTCTCCCTTCTTAAATAGGAAACTTTTGCTGGCTTTTATTCAGTGAAAAGTGTAGGACCTGCTGACCAGGTGAACTGCTGACCAGCTTACTGGTGTAGTGGTCTGCCAGGAAATCTACAGGAGGTGTCTCTGACATCGGTTGTTGCTTTTTCTAACTTTTAATAGCTTGAAAAGGCTTGACTTATGCTGTTTGGAGAAATAAACTCACCTAGCCATAGCGAAATTAAAACTGGTACTTCCCATTGCTTTTTTTTTTATTATATCCACCAGTTCTAGGTGAAGTCATGCAGCAAGTTCTTCTACCAAGTGAATTAAAGAGCTGATGAGTTTTAGCTTTTCCCCTAAAACATCAATGGTTTGCAGTTTTTCAATAGTCATATGAATTTAGGTCAGCTTAGACTGAATCACCAGGTGTCCCTGTGCTTTGGTATTTACTTAGCATTGCCCTAGGGAAGACCCATGTTTTAGGGCTATGGATCATTTCGGACCTGATCTTCTTAGGTAGGCAGTGGAGCGAGTTGTAGTTAAAGCAGAAGTTATTCTCTGCTGGTGCTATATGCATCTCTGGAAACAGCAGGCTTGGGGACTTATTTTGAAGGAAGGTTTCTTGTTCTGTGCTCCTCGGCACGCTGCAAAGGAGTGGTGTTGGGGTCTGTAGGAATGGATGGGATCTGCTGTGATTCCTAGTAAATGTGGACTGAACTTGTGGTAATGTACTTGAATTAAAGCAGAGTGAGTGCATGTGGTTTTCTTCCTCAGCTCCAATTCCAACCTACGTGCTTGGCGCTAATGACCAAGAGACCGTGAGCTATTTTCCAGACATAAGTGGCTGCGAATTAGCTGAGAACATCACTTACTTAGGTAAGGCTGCAGGTGGTTTGTGATAAGGGATGTGCATTTGTCTGGTGGTGCTTTCATGAACATTTTCTGATCTTCCCACTTCAGACCCCTTCCTTTTGCTGGAAATTTTAAGGTGGCATTTCTTATTATGGGATTCAGACTGGAGTTGAACTCTGTGTTGAAAGGCTGATACAATCTGCTATGTGAAATGTGAAAGAGAACCCTGCTTTTTTTGTTGTTTTCTAACACTGAACTTGCTAACCAAAAGGAATAGTAGTTGAAAGAGCCTGTTCTTTGAGAATATCGTATTCCCATAGCATGCCCATCTTTGTATGGGGACGGTTTCCTACTTGAAGTATGATTTTGCTATGCTCTGAGGCTGTACTGGAGTAGCAGAGGTAAGAAGTGTCATCTTTAAAGGTAATGAAGCTGTAGCAAAGCTAAAAGGAAAAACTAGTTTCTTTCTAGAATGCCACCTGACAAAAGACATAACAAGTAAAAGCACTTGCAGTTGGCTTTTTTTACTCAGCCTTCATACCGAGCTTTTGATATGGATTGTTTTTTGGGAAGCAAGATAGCAGTGAGGAGAGAAGACTGGGGGCTGTCTGAACAGTTTCTTCACTGTAGGCAGGGTTCGAGCCATTGCGCTAAAACATGTCTTTACCGCAGTTTACGGGCACAGAAAATGAGCTGTCTGTAAGGATAGTTTCAGAAGTCAGGCAGGACTGCTGAATTTGGTCCTCTGTCTATGATGCGACTAGGAGATTACTTGCAATGTCTACATGTCAAGTGCGTGCCTGTGTATTAATGCAGGCCGTCGAGGTCTTTACAGTGGTACTTCTGGACTGCAGATTGCATACCTGAGTGGTACCGAGACCCAGGATGAGCCAGCTCCTGCCTACAGTTTTAGCGCAAAGGATGTGGCAGAATTAAAAACATCTTTGTTATCAACCCCAAACTTCAAAGGCGTGGATATATTGCTGACATCTCCCTGGCCCAGAGATGTGGGGACTTTTGCCAACAGTGCGGTAAGTGTTCTGTTTTCTGGTGGAATGGGTTTTCAGATGGATTTAACAAAGGATTGCCTTTCTGCTTGCTGTGGCAATTTGGGCTATTGGGCCATCTCCGAGTACTTGAGAAAGCTGAGAGTAAAAAACGGACAGCGGATGTTCTGGTTCTTTAGAGAAGGACCAGTGGGGAGGGGGATTTGTGAAACATCAGGGTGTTTCATCTGTCCCTGCCTGAAAAATCAGTCAGTAGCTTTCATCTGATCACAAATGTTGCTCTGAATTTAGTTGGTTGCAGTTGCTGTGGAATGCTTCTGCTACTCTCTGATGTGGAATGCTGTAAGCATCTTCAATACCACTTGACATTAAGTCGTTCTTTCTCCCCCCTTCAAAACTTTTTATGCATTTTGGTGTTTATTTCCTTAAGTATCAGTCAGCTGTACTAAATGGTCTGATTCTTCCTCTGTCTGGATTTTGAGGATGTTGCTTCATTTGTGTCCAATTTTCTGTCGTTAATGTTCCTCAGCAGAAGTGACTTTCCAGTTGTAAGTTCAGGTGATCTGAAACCTTCCCGGAGAGCAAGGCCGCATACCATGGCAAAAGTACACTTTTTGCTTCCTCTCAGTATCTTCCGACATCCAAAAAAGAGATATGATCCTCAGTCTAAAAGCATAAAGAACCCTCCCTCATCTCCCCACCCCAAAAAACCCCAACTCCACTAGCCTAGGGAGTTGGAGAGAAACAAGTTGTAGGGATATTATAGCTTAAAAAGAAAACTCTGGTCTCGAAATTCTCATGGGAATTCTCTGTAGTAGCTCAGTGTATCATTCCACACTTGGCTTCCCTCGGCATGAATTTTCTGAGAATTTACTCACTTGGATTAACAGAGGAGTATATTAATAGTGATTATATTCAACTATGCATCTTGTTGAAGTGTGTACTTTTATTACCTGAGGATTTCAGTAATAAGTCTTGGAGATTCCCTTCTGCACTGAGACCCTGAAATCCCATCACTCAAATAAAGCAGGAAGTTTGAGGAGTGAACAATTAGGTCTCTTGCTCTTTGTCACCTGAAGTTTCTCTTTCAGCAAAAGCGGCATGAGGAGCTAAATTGCATGGATGAGAATTGACTCCCTGGAGAAGTCTGTGGGTTTCCTTTTCCTGAGAAGCTTCGTAGCTCTGGCCATTTTCAGTGGGGCTGGAAGCAGCCAGCCCTCAGTGCAGACATTGCTGGGTTCCCCTCTGCCATGCCCGTTGTGAGGGCAGCAGGAAGGAGCACAGAGAGGAAAACTGCCTTCTTGAGGGTGGGTTAGTGCCTGTCCTGCTGCCGCAGTGAAGGGCTGTGACAGATGCCTGCCAGGTCAGAGTCTCATTCCCCATGTTTTTACCACAGATAACAAGTTATAGGTAACACACGTAGGCTGTTTCGGAACTTCTCTCTTCCCCTGCCCTTTTCCTGCCCTACTTCACTTCTCAGTCTAAGGCTAATGGGGAAAAGACAGCACAAGAAGAGCCTTCACCCAAGGAAACGGTTTGAAGTCTGCTCTTTGGTTGTGTTTTGTTTTGCTCTGATTTCTCAGGGATGGGAGTGGGATAAAATTATGCTTCCTAAGGAAATCCCAGAGCTTTCCTATTCGCTTGACTCGTGCACTAAAGCTTTGGCACTCTGGGCATGTGGTCAAAACTTGTCTTAATGATTTTGACATCTGTTCATGTTTGCCAAATTCACGCTGTGCTGCCCTGGCTTCACACGACCAAGAGAAGGAAAATACGACAAACTTGGATTGATGAAACGAGTAGAAGCAAACCCTGAAGTACAGAGAATGGAATAAATGAGTAGGTTCTGGTTGGCGATAAGAGATCAAGCCCTTTTGACTTTTTTTTCCATTTCCAGGGAATGGCGACCACTATAGTCAGTCTCTACATTTCCAGCATGCAGTTCTGTATAAAACTGTTTCTTTTCACTGTGATCTGACAGGGTTTTTTAAATAAAACTTGGTTTGTATTTTATAGGGAGAAATAGATACCAAGAAATGTGGCTCCAAGTTAGTATCTGATCTAGCTGCGAGTCTCAAACCAAGGTACCACTTTGCTGCCCTGGAGAAGGCCTATTACGAAAGACTTCCTTACAGGTTTGTAAGACCATATGAAATCTCATTTGTTTTCTAATAAGAGTTCAATTTTTAAAGAACACAGGAGGACAACTTTAAAATAATTTTATTATGTCATCCAGTCCCAACACAGGGTCAAGATTGTTTCTCAGGTGCATCTTATTACCGTAATTCCTGCTGCCTCGAAAATTGTGCCATTGCTGACAACACTTGTCCAAGTACATTGCTGTGAATCTGATGCCAAGTTAGTTGCCCTTAGTCACATTTAAACAGCGTTCAGCCTAATTCAGGGGTGTATCTCTGAAAATGTATTGTGGAAAAGCTCGTGTGGTGAAGAGACTGGTATCTTCAGTCATAACTTTGTATAGAAAATGTGACTAGTGACATAAGGTAGGTGTCAGAACAACCTACAAATAAAACTAAGGCTGTCGTGTTAATGTTGGGTAAGATTATTATCCTTTCCACAGGAAACACTTTAAAGGTGTAGCTGTTTTTAGACTAGTGAATTGTCCTCTCATCTCCATATTTGGACTGCAATGAGATGTCATTTTGGTTTGTGCAGCTGTTTGCTGTTAGATCTCATGAGTGAGCCTGTCCTCAAGGCTCCTTGTTCTTGGCCAAAGACTGTATGTGGCTGACATGCTGTTTTGAGTAGCTTCATGGAGGACATGTGGTTTTCCCACTGTCCTTTTCTATATTGTATATGCCAGTACAGTCATGTTTTGCTTCCTTACAGAAATCACACAGTGCTACAGGAGACACCACAGCATGTGAGCAGGTTTATTGCACTTGCTGATGTTGGCAATACAAGCAAGAAAAAGGTACTGACACTCTTGAATCTTTCTTCTTTTCTCAAGTACAAGTAATAGGGCAGGAAGCCCAGCTTTGGCTAGCTAGAGGACAGCATCGACCACTTAAAAGCTTGACTGAAGTGGAGGGATCTGTCTCACTTGAGCAATAGATACCATTTGCCCATTATGTCGGAAGGGTAAGGGCTGCAAGATGTGTTCTGAGGCACTGTTGTTCTTCTCTACCTGGTCAAATGGCATGTAGCTGTGAAAACAGCTGCAGAGGAAAGTGGTTAGAAAGCTGCCATTCCTTCCTCTTCCCCAGCTGCTTTACGTATTTTCTGTTCGCATGGCCTGCTTTAAGAAGGAAGTGAAATTCCAAAGGAGCCCTTACAAATCACTGAAAATAACTAACTTCTGGGATGGGAAGGGGCTGTTTTGTTTTGTTGGTTTTTTTAAACCTGTTTCTCTTCTCCCCTTAAGAAAGTTACAGAATATTGGTATAGAAGGACAGGTTGCTAGTTAAGAAGGCATAGGAACCAGACCTGGTAACAAAAAAAGGTCCAGTAGTTCTGGACAGATAGAAGGCCTGGAAACAGGCAAGGATCAAGGTCGTTTCTTTTCCAAGTAGGATGCACTGCTGCTTTTAAAAAACGTCTTTCCTTAAAGTGAGAGGAGTGAGCCACTTGGAAGCACTTTATAAACTCGTGGTTGCACTGGGTGGGAGACTGGTACAGGGAGTGTGTTTTTCATGTCCTGCCTTAGCTTAAACACTGATTTGCTGAGTTCTTGCAGTGCTAAGTTGTGTGTTACTGTTTCAGGGTGGCTTAGTTCACAGCTGACCTCTTCAGAGTTGCAGTCATGGCACAAGCTTCTTGCATTTGAGCCATCTGTTTTTGTTCTAGTATCTCTATGCCTTCAGCATTGTTCCGATGAGCTTGATGGACCCTGCAGAGCTGGTGAAACAGCCACAGGATGTCACCGAAAATCCATACCGAAAATCGCGGAAGGAGGCGCAGAAGACCAAAGCACCCCTGTGTGCAGAGGTACCACTACCTTCTCCTTCCTGTGCGCACGGTTTCACTCTCTGTATTCAGGGAGCTTAGAACACTGTCTTTAACCTTGGAATATTTCTGTCCAAAACACTTCAGGTTTCTGTGTACACTATTTGCATCAACCAAATTGTATAGATGCAATGCATGGGAGTTGTTACAGTTTGCCCCTTCTTAAGCCAACCGTGTCCCTGGCTGCATCAAAAGAAGCGTGGCCAGCAGGTCAAGGGAGGTGATTCTGTCCCTCTACTCTGCTCTGGTGAGACCCCACCTGGAGTACTGCGTCCAGCTCTGGGGTCCTCAGCACAAGAAAGACATGGACCTGTTGGACCGGGTCCAGAGGAGAGTCACAAAAATGATCCAAGGGCTGGCTCCTTCCAGCTGACAGCGTGGGTGGGCATGAGGGTGACAGACACCTCCTGATCCCTTTAGCTGTGACAGCCTCCCCACCCCCAGCTGAGACTTGCTGTGGTGTTCAACCCCTGGCAACAAGGCTTTTAACAGACTGATCAGTCAATAACTGGATAGAAGCAAAGCTCCTTGTACCTTTGAGCTGAACTATACAATTGATGACAGGCACAAGAGCTTGCCAAGTTTACTGGGAAAAATGCTTCCACTGTACATGCCCATTCTTACAGTGCAGGCTGGGTTTTAGACTGCAGTTGTGCTCCTGTGCAGGAGCCAAGCTAAGCTTGCACGAGCAGCCCTGCTCTTTGCCATCCCCTTCCCAAGTGCTTTCCTCTGCAGTATTAAAGCCTTCTAACGACATGACAACTTAGTCAAGTGGTTTCAGCCTCTGTGTGAGTCTGTTGAGAGGTTAACATCTCTTAAGAAATAAAGACATTCTTTTGGCACTGGCTGTCAAGTGAAAAGAGATTTGAATAATCCATAAATTCAAGCAATTCTGAATGTTTAGCATGAGGCTAAATAGGAGAACATATCAATTTGGGGCAGCTCTCCCAGAATTTTTTCCCTGGCTGAGGCTGCATATCTAGGCAGGCAGTCTGCTGCATTTCTGGGAGAGCTCAATTCATTCTGTTCCAGGATATTGATGCTTTTCAAAGGTGGTTACACACCTCCTCAGGAAAAAGCAAATTCTTGTACTTACTGTGACTCTCTGTGATGCAGTTACAATGGGCTTTGGTTTTCATTTTCTAAACAGGAGGAACCAGCTTGTCAGTTTTTCTTTGATTTGAACAAGCATCAGGGAAAGAAACGTCCCTCAGATGAGAAAGAGAGAGGGAACTCCCAACCTAAGCAAGCCAAAAAACCCCGTAAGTATGTGGATGCTTTTTTCCTGAGCTCTTCCCTTGAGGCATTGGACCATCTCACTCTTCATTTTTCTCAAGCTGTTGAGCTGTATACATCAGCTTGCCAACGTGCTCTGTCACTATACTAGATGCTGTGGGAATACAGAGGAATGAAGGGTCCTTTGTTTCCTACAAACCTGACAATCAATAGGTGAAAGAAAAGTCAGAAGTATAGTTTAAAAGCTAGTTGGATCTGTGGTGGTTGGGGTTGGGCTGATGCCATTTATCGTCTGAACCAGACTGGCCTCTGAACATGACAACAGGCAGTTTCACAAAGCAACATGTTTCCATTCAGAGGGACTGCAAGAGACTGGATCACGGTGCTGAGGAGTTCTTGAAACACTACTTCAGTTGTTCTGTGCTGTGAGTTCACAAAGTATTAATGAATTGGGAAGGGAGGAAGCCCTTCTGTTACCACTGTATTTCTGTGCTGTAAGTCTCATTAGAGTTTGTCTGACTTGAAGAAATTGAAATGAAATCTTTAAGGATCATGACTTCTTAGTGACAGTGTTATTGCAAGTATGTATCTTTAGAAATGTTGGTCTCAGTTATAAAGAAATTTGGGCTTAAAATGCAAATGTAGGTGTCAGCCTCCCCTTTGTTTCTGTGAAAGCTATTCCCACTGCCAGTGGGTATGAAGACAATCTTCAAAAATGTCTCTGGTAGATAAGTCTGGTTGCCTTTGTTACGTGAGACTAAGTTGTTCAGTTTTTACTTATTAGATTTCTGAACCCTTTGCATAGTCCTTGCACATAACAGTTCTACGGGCCAAATTACTTTATGCTAAGATGAGTGCAGTGTCATTGCTCTATAGTGTGCCATTGTGCATATTCATATAACTTCCAAAGTCTTCTGGAGTTTGATGTCATGAGAAGAGAGCCTTGCTACACTGTTTTGCTCAGAAATGAACCCCAGAATTAGACGTTTGGTTTCCTGCAGTTCTTGGGAGAGCTCCATCATGTTTATTGCATTTGCAAAGCTGCTTGTCTATTCTTGTACACAACCTGCAGAGGATGTGAATATAATGTTATATTTATAACCTAAGGAGAGGCCTAGCTTATCAATGCCATTAACTTACATTAAAGGTCAGCTCAGGTATCACAATTTGGGTGCGAATCCAGGTGTTTTGAGTGTGAGTAGGCCAGAACTGACAAGTGTGTTTGACAGCATCTGTCCTTGTCTGTACCTATGCAGTAATTTTACCTTATTTTTATTTGTTTGTTTAAATTTGCTGGTGCTTTCTTATTAGTGAGCTGTAACCACTAAATTCCTGGAATTAGTGCTCTTCCATTAAATTAGAGCACCCGATGAGAATGGCAGTCAGCAAGGGTGTGATTGCCGCCACCTCCTCTCTTGCTGGAATTTCCCAGAGGCACCAGTCCTCTGACCAGATCTGCTTCCAGGAGCTGTGTACTTCTGACATCTTCAGCACTTTATCAACTGGGAAGGGTGGCTGGAAAATAACAGCTCTTCCAGATCTTGTTTGCATCCTTGTTCTGACAAATAAGCCTTGTGCTAACACTTGTTTCTCTTTCCTCTTCCAATAAAGCACAGCCCACGGGGCCCTGCTGGTTCTGCCTTGCCAGCCCAGAAGTTGAGAAGCACTTGGTTGTTAGCATTGGCACGCATGTAAGTACCTGCAGCATGTTCTTTGCTACATGACGGCAGAATCATGCGAAGACACGGCAATATAAAATATCAATCTCCACTTTTAAATCTTAAAAAAACCAAACAAACTTTATTTGAAGCTGACTCATGGTTTTGTTTTCAGTTTCTTCACATCTCCCCTACAAAAGACGTAAGTATATATAAAGTCTTTTAAAAAAATGAAGCATGGCCCAGTTTTGCTCCTGCAGCAGAGCTGGATTACAGTGCCAAAACACTTTTTGCTGCACCAGCCCTCATGGTTTGCTTATGTTACCATCTGGCAGAACTTTTCCAATGTGAACTCAGTGTAAACTGGAACCTGCTTTAGCAGCAGGATGCACTGTCTGGAGTTACACCAGATCTCCCTGGGATGATTGGTTCCAGTTTTGTTATATATTGATTAAACAGAAGATAAGATAGCTTTAAAGTTGACATCTTGAAGTACATCTTGGAGATTAATTCAATCATTGGTATATTCACTTTGCTTAAAGTTACTGCTCCTGTATAGCATAATCCACCTCAAACTGCTACAGGGACAGGTTTGTCCATGGGCTGATTTTAAAATCTGTTAACAATTTTCAAGTGGATTTTCTTGTCATAGTAAGAAATTCTAGCCACGGTGGTGAAGGTCATTCAGCTGCTTTCCTGCAGAAAAGGCATTCTCTGGCATTCAAAAGATTTTTTTTTTTTTTTTTTTTGTCCTTTAGAAGTCCCTCTCTCTTTCTCATTCCTCTAGTAATTAATAAATTGCTAATAAACAATCCCCAGTAAGTGACATAGAGGAGAAGACTTTCCTGTTCCTGAGGCAGAATCACTAGGCTGGGAGATACTCAGAATGCAGTCAGAGAGTAAATTTCCACAGCATGGTAAGTAAGTGTTGCTTGCAGTGAGTAACTGGTGTGTATTGTTTCACTCTAGTGCTATCTTGCCCTGGCCAAAGGTGGCTTATTACCTGATCACGTCTTGATTTTGCCTATTGGGCACTATCAGTCAGTGGTTGACTTGTCTTCGGAGGTGGTGGAAGAAGTGACCAAGTACAAGTCTGCCCTAAAGGAATTTTTCAGAAGCAAGGGAAAGAGATATGTCCTATTTGAAAGAAACTATAGGAGTCAGCATCTGCAGTTACAGGTATGGTTTTAGTGTCACCCTGGGAGAATATAAACTTGCACTTATCTGCAAATGAATTGAAAGAGAAAGCTCACCTTCAAATTTCTCTCTTTATTCTGTGCCTTCCCAGAGCATGGATAGAAGTCGTCCTACCCACAGATAGAGCCAGAGCAAAAATAAAACCAGTGTGCTGGTTCTGCCACAGTCATTTAACTCTTCCTGTTACAGCAGCACAGCGTTGGTTGTGTTGAGTGGGTGAGGAAAACTTTTCCCTGCATGGAACTGATTAAAAAGCCCACAAGGTTTTCAGCTAAGTTGCAAGACCTTGCTCTGACTCTGATCGGCTCACACTGGCACACGAACTGTGGTGCTCGCATTTGTAACTGAAGTAGGCTGAAAATCTAAAGATATATGCAGACTCATTGTCCACCAGTACCAGCCCTTTGATTTTTTTTTTTTTTTTTGTCGTCCTCTGTGTCAATCATTTAGGTGTTTATTGTGGTGGTTTCTGTATTTGGCAGATCTGTAACTGTATCAGAGCGGCCTTAAACTACCACAGAGATCAGAAAGGAGAAGGCTGTGCTGAGAACTTTTTCAAGCTTTTAGTTTTCAGCTTTTTGTTCAGCTCCTACAGAAAAGATCTCATAAGTTTAAGCCTGTACAGATAGGTGCTCACCTGTCTTGTCTGATGATGCTGAGTGGTACTGAGGAGCATACCAGCTCCAGTGATGGATTGATTGCTTTCTGCAAGTGGTTTGTTTTGTCTTTTCTTCTTTTTACGGAAATATTGTCTTCTCCCTCCAGGTGATTCCTCTCCCGTTGGACCACTGTACTTCCGAAGACATTAAAGAGTCCTTTATCGTACAGGCACAGGAACAACAGATTGAATTATTAGAAATCCCAGAACACTCAGATATTACGCAAGTATGAGACAAGATTTCACTGTTACTTACTTTCTCTCTGTCCTGTCTAGGCTGCTATTTCCCTCCGAGGTCACTTTGCGTGGTAGGGTTAAGCTGTTGGAGGCAGACCGTTGTAGACTTGGAGATGTGCCAGGTGTATTCTGCTCTGGGTGAAGTTCCCATGAACGACAGATGTGTTGCTTATCTGAAAACGATTCCAGCTATGTGTAGGGCTTGCTGAATTCATTCCTTCTGACACCAAACACCAACCCTCTTTCAGTGCTGCTGCACATTAGGTAGTTTTAGGTTCCCTTGGGTAAGAATTTGAAAGAAATCTTCCTGTTACATCAGAGAAATGAGTCAGTAGTGACATAGGGGTTTTTTTTCTTTGTGCTCAGTGGTCACAGGGAGACCTGATCTGCAGCAGGAGCCAGAAATAGCACGTGTGCATGCTTGTCTCTTTCTAAGCCATTGCAGCTATTGACACCCACGTTGGCAAGCTTAGAGGCTGATTTCTCTGCCGAGAAATGTGAATGTAGTCCCTTCACATGCTTTTCTTCCTCTAAAAATGTGCCGTATTAGTACGGGATGACTTAGCTCAGGTTAAGAATGATCAGAACTGCCTGGCTGTCTCATTTAACGACTCTGTAGTGGTAACTGCGGAATTAAACCACAAAAAATATTGTAGCGGTGCCCTGTATGCATCCTCAACTGATGGTCCCAGCAGAAAGCGATCCATCACTTCATCGTCCCTTGGAAGTCACAGTTTGACATCAGCTGCTGATGCAGCTTGGTGTCTCTGGGTCGGTTGGTTTGTTTTGCCGAGTTTCCTCTCTAAGGAAATGCCTCTCTGGTTAGGAAACATCCGTGCATTTCCAAAGACCGTGCTCTTTGCTGGTGGGCAGAGCAGGCGAGAGGTTGCAGCACTGCTGGGGGTGCGGGGGTCCGCAGTGGGTCCCCCTCTCCCCGCCTCTCCCCCCCCGCAGGTGGCGCAGCCGGGGACGCCCTACTTCTACGTGGAGCTGGACACGGGGGAGAAGCTCTTCCACCGCATCCGCGGCCGCTTCCCGCTGCACTTCGGCAGGTCGGTGCCTTCCCCCGTCCCTCCTCCCCGGCCTCGCGGGGCGCGGCGCTGACGGCACGCCCCGCGCGTGACGTCGGCGGTGACGGCGGCTGTGCTTGCAGGGAGGTGCTGGCGAGCGAGGCGCTGCTGGCGCTGCCGCAGCGGGCCGACTGGCGGCGGTGCGCG